TATTCCCTTGATAACTCTGCTAGGAACCATAGTTATGCTCTTTGGCTTAGATTTTTACACTACTCAGGCCAAGTATCTTTTTCTACCAAAATTTATGTGCATAATTATGAGTTATGTACCTTTAACAGTTGACTAGTTGTCAATTTGTCATGAAGTTAATTGTGTTCAGGAAGAACAATCAGACAAAATGATCCACCATCATTGCCAATCACCAACAATTTCTTTTTCTGGAACCATTGTAGTATACAAGAGATCAAGCTTTGGTTTGTACATAATGGTGCCCTGGTTAGAACCACCAGGATTGGGCCTATTTCCTGACTGTCTAGTTATTGGCTCGAAGTCTAGTTTAGATAAGGTTCTGTTTCCACGGCAAAATATTAGATAACTTTGCAGTTGCGGAGTCCTGTAATTGGCGTGCTATTTGAGCAGATCAGCAGAGTGTATTCTAACTATGCAAACTAATAGATGATCGGCTTCAGTGTTTTTGACATATTAATTATGTTGTTTGCATGACATTCCTGCACCTTTTATTTTTTTTCACTCAACATAATACAGTAACACGCTTTGCCATAATTGAGTTGTGTGATGTCTTCGACGAGACTGAGGTCTCAAATTGGTTGCTCCAAGTCCTGAGGTAACCATTCTGTCCCTTTTTGGTGAAAATAGTTGCCAATGCAAATGATAGAGAAGTTTAGGCCAGATTCTCTGGTAATTGGGAACTAAAGGAGCGATTGCCAAAACATGTGTCCATATGATTTCCGTGAACTGTGTTTATAATAATAACTGAAAAGGGGACGTGCTTGGGCATGGGCATGGATGTTCACGTTTGGTTTAAAACCGTTCAACCCGTGAACCCAAATCAGACTGGACCAGGTGAAGATGGCCTGCTCAGGTTTTGCCCGGTTTCTGGTTTGAAATTTGAACCCACATTTGTTGGAACGGATTGGGTTCAGCACGCATTAAAAACCGTGAAACCAGCTAAACCCGTCCCTATTCGTGCTTGGCTCCTCATAGCATCGCCGCCGTGGGTACCCTGCACCGCACGCGTGTTTAGGTACTGTCGGTGAATGAGCCTTGCCCACAGCCGGCGGTCTTGCGATGGCGGTGTTGGCGTGGTCGAGAGCCTTTGCTCACCGTGGCTTTGGCGCGAGCGTCGTGCGTGGTCTCGCTCTGCTCGTGGGTCGACTCCATACGCCGCAGCGCCAGTACAACGCCCTGCAGCCAGGTAATCTCATACGAACTGAGATGTTCCCTCACGGAATGGATCGATATAATCAAAATCCTTTACGTTATAAGAGCAAGTATATTGATGTTATCTTGCAGTCAATCTCAGATAATGCTATATAATTTTAAGATGACTTAATAGACAATATGTACAATTATTGTTTTTAAATAGTCTAATTTAGCTCATAATTTCTTAATTTATGCGTAGAATAAAAATAATGTTGTGAGTTCTATGACAACAACTTACGTAACAATATAATAGTTGTCTTATAGTTTTAAATTTTAACTTATGATTGTTTCATGAAAGAACGGCCTCTTTTATCTCTCCTCCCTCTTTCCTCCACATCACGATTTGCCCTAAACATTAGTTAGTGCATCTGATCAGATCAATAGTTGTAAGGTGTAAAAAGAGCTCCGCTACTTGCACAAAAAAAGGTCACCTGGAACAGGTGGCAATCAGCCTGATTTGGCATCGCTGCGGCTGCAACTGCACACAAGCACTCAATAGCAACAGTGCTAGGAAAGAGAAAAACTGGCAGCCATAGCCGTTGCAGCTGCTATAACTGCATATATGCACTAGCACTATCAATCTATACGCATCCTGATCGGCTAATGGTTTTTTGGTGATAAAGAATATTTTGTTTAAAAGAAAAAATTTACGATCGATAAGCAATTCAAGCGAAAGCCCAACTCTTAGTTTAATTTGTGTAGCAATTTAAAGCATAAGGGTAAAGTATAGTTTACACCTCAAAGAGAAAACTTCAAAACGGACAACTTTGGCAACTCATAAAGTTCAACTTTCAACCTTGTTTTTGGCAGTAACTTTTATCTCGAGGCGCTTATAATATTATTTTTCGAGCATCTTATCAAATGAAAAAACTCAACTATAGTTTAGATCTTCTCTATAACACATATAAAAATTATCTTCAAGCCATCAGGGTATTCTATTTTTTGAGCCATATCCATAGCTTAAAAGCCAATGAAATTTTATATTAACAGCAATGATAGTTGCGGTACTGCTATAGCTGCATATATGCACTAGCACTACCAATCTATATCTGCGTCATGTTGAAACAATTTTTGATGGTTTATTGTATTGATAAGTTGGCTAATATTGTTTTGTTATAAGAGAAAAATATTATACCATGGTTGATAAGCAATTCAAGCGAATAGAGCGCACGATCTCCTAGTTTGGATTTGTGTAGCAGCAGCTGCAGCATAATAAGTGTAACCGAGCAGGGTCATTGGTTACAACAAGCTTGGCGCATCACGCACACAAAGTCATTTGCACATAGAAGGTTTATTCCTTGATCCACGTCATTCCTCGTAGCAACCAATGTTAACTACTTTCTCCATTTCAAATTATAAGCAGACGAAAAATGATAATTGCCAACTTTTAAATTTCACTTTGATTGTTTTGTTTTCATCCATTTTGCTATTGTATGATTAGACACATAAAAAGTCGAAAGGATCTGCGCCAAATTTTGGTATGAAAACCTAATTTGGATTTCGTGGATTTTGGTGACGTTCCCTGATGAAAAAACCGTGCTTCACGAAATCGCTTTCCTCGAACTGGATTCCTCCAGTCATGTTTTTCAACTCCAATTTCTCCTTGCGAATAGGCCCATTATTATATCTAGATGCATTATAAAATAGATGTAACAAAAAAAACCAAAACGACTTATAACTTGGAACGGATGAAGTAGTTGGAAGAACAAATGGCTAAAAAGGAATGAATTTGGCTCTAAAAGTTTAAAGCAACAGCCTCAACTTATATAAACGCTAAACAGTCTAGCATCTTACCACCTATGTTTCTTTTGCTAAAGTAAACTGAGGGCATCGTCAGTGGTGAGTCAACCCATGATCTGAAAAAAGCTGTCGTGCATGCGCAGGAATCGCTTTCCTCGAACTGGTTCATTGTTTTCCAGTCATTTTGGGCCCACATCAACTCATCAATCTTGTGCAACTCCATGCGGATGGCTTCTCCCGCAAAGCAGCAAACAATCTTTTATAGTCGTTTACGGGCAATGAATCGATGCAAGATGTTGAGTTGACTCCTCTCGATCTCCTCCGTGAATCGATCTCCTCCAGCAGTTGAGCCGACTCAAACCAAGCCACGTAAGATGATGAGTCACTCTTCTACTGGTCACTGGAGAAGCCCTAAAAAGTCCTTAGGCCATCGAATTTGAACAAGTCCTTAGTAAGATTTACTTAAGGCATAGGTCATTAATAGCATGTCAACTATAAATATGATAGTTTTTATGGATAACGAAATAAAGTGATTGCGTAGCATGTATTTGGTTTTGGATAACATGAGTTGGGTTGGACCTGTCCCTGTTTTTTTGGGTTGTGTTGGACCCATTTTAGTATTCGGTTGATAAGGTTGAGTTGATTCCAATTCATTGTTTGGTTTCAAGAATCTACAGTACTGGGTCGGGAGACTAACACATGGTCCATGTCTGGCAGCCTAAAGTCCTCTTCTTCTTCCTTCCACTCTGAAATTGACATTCATTTGCCCCACCCCCGTTCTCAATTCATGACAGTGAGACACGACACCATTTCTTACGTGAACCGCCATCCACTTCCATGGCTCCTCTAATCCCACCCCCTGCGGCTTTCCGGCTTGCGACTCCTCCTCCTGGGCTGGCACTCGTGTCGCACGGTGTGCTCCTCCCTCCTGGCATGCGCGCCGCACGCGCGACCTTTTGGGCGCGCTCCTCCGTTCGGCTCGGATGCGTGACGCGCCGCTTCTCCGCGTCCGGAGAAGAAGGTCTTGTTCAAGACGCTGCCGCGCGGCGCGGCAATATGGCGCGGCTGCCTCGTGTGGTGGCGCAGGCGCATCCGTGACGCTTGAATCCATTCGCCGGTGCCGTGCCCCAGCGTTGAGCTCCCGCGCCACACATGCGGCGGCGTCATCATCGTGTGTCAGGTCCACCAATGTTGCGCCCATCCCCTTCATTTCGAGACGCGTGGATGCCGCAGTGAAGTGATGAGCATGAGGGACCGAGTGGGTCAACCCCGTCCGCTCGTTTTGATGGAACGGGGCAACCCGCATCTAAGAGGAATATTTTCCATTTGGGTTCGACCCATTCCAACCCACTCCCAACCAAACACTATCGGCGATGACGTGATTTGGAGAAATCTCCATCTGCAGTGCCGCCCCTCACAAAAACGCTTATTTCATCTAACCGCCTACACGGAATCAAACCTGGGTGCCATGATGAGATTCTCTCTCACATCAAACGAATGCACAAGATGACGAGCACGTAATCCACCAACCGAAACGCGGCTTTATGAAAACCCGCTCTAACCCACTTCAAACCCCAATCCAAACTTTTTTTTTTGACTTCCCCGAGTCCAAACACATGGGCTATTAACTTGTTACTTCAGTTATTGTGTAAGTTGTTTTGTGTGAGCGTGAATGACTGAATTACGATTCTACGACGCATTGTGGCTTGTGAGCTTCTGTACGTTGTCTATGTAAGATTGATTTACGTGTTATTCACTATGAATTTATTATTTCATATTACTGTGATTTTATTATTTAATCTCTGTTGAATATCGCCGATACCTGGTACGAAATCTTATGCTCGTGGTTGAATAAAAGTTAGAAACTCGCGGGCGTACCCGCTGCCATGATGCTGATCCCTCGATGATACAATAAAATTAAATTAAAATGTTAAAACCCTAATAAACCTCACCGCCGCCCACTGCCATAACGGGCGCCGGACGCAGTCCTCAATTCTTCTTCCCGCTCCGTGTTCGCCGCCATCGCCATGACTTGTGCCACCCGGCGCCCCGGCTTCCTCCGCGAGGCCGAGCTCCGCCTCCTCCGCTGCACCCTCCCCGCCCAGCCCTCGACACGGCCCCCACCCGCTTCCCCTCCCCCTGCGCATCCGCTCGGCCCCGCCGCCGCCTCCGCGCTCGCCGCCGTTGAGGCCGGCGACTACGAGGCTGCGCTCGCCGCCGCTGCGCCGCACCTCCTCCCGGCCTCCGCCTCCTCTGGGCCTCCCGGCTCCGCCGCGCAGTTCTACGCCGAACTAGGTGCCACCACTCGGGCGTTCCTGCTGGGGGATGGGGACGGGGGAGCGGCGGGAGAGGGGTTCGAGTGCAGGTGCGCGGTTGTGCTCTCCGCTGCAGTGGCCGCGCTGCTCGCGTTCACGCAACAGAACGTGACTGGGTGAGTTAGTTTCTGGGTTTTGTCTCTCTCTCTCTTTTTTTTTTTACTATATGATTAGGGAAAGCCATGGCTCACTGTGTGCGCTTAGTTTGGCAAACAACTTAGTGGAAGAAACGTTAGATTTTAAATATCCTAGGATCCTTTTGATCAATTACAGCTCGCATACTAGACTGAGGATATAGTTTTAAGCATTGGTCCAACATATTGTGATGGGCTAGTTCCATTTAGCCTCTAGAATTAACCTTCTGTAAATTCGATCACAGGTTTTAAAGGCACTTTAAAAATTGCTAATTTCACATAGTTATAAAATATGGCATAGTAGAATGTCGTTGGAGTTTGCCAAGTAAGATATCGAGATTATTTGACTTGTTCCTGAATGTTGACTTATAAGAAACAAAAATGTGAATACTCTTGATTGCTAGCATGTGGTATACTCCTTGTACATGTCAGTCAGATGGATGTAGTTGAGGGACTAGGGAGCTATGTTGACTTGGTGAGGGAATGCAATGTGGTTACATACTACCTCCATTTCTATATTTAGGTTGTTTTAGCCTACTCCCTCCGTTCCAAATTATAAGTCGCTTTGACTTTTTGGTACATCAATTTTACTATGTATCTAGATATAACAAAATCTATGTATCAAAAAGTCAAAGCGACTTGTAATTTGGAACAGAGGGAGTACTTAATTTTCACTAAATATAAGTCATCCTAGAACTTATATGCATCTTTTATCCTTTTCTTCCCTCTTTGCTCCTGCTTAATAAATATTAATATTACTGCTATTTTTTCTCACAAATGAATGAGTCATCTTTCCCAATGGAGTATGCATTAAGGGCACTGAGGTCATGTTATCTACTTTCTTGACCCTTGTACAAAAGTCTAAAATGGCCTGCATTTGGAGTCAGAGAGGGAATAAATATTTCGGGGACTGTTTGTGGCTTCTTGCTGGAGATAGCTTCCCCACAGGAAGTATTGCCAGAGGGTGTCATGGAAGCATAAATAGATGCATGCAGCAGAGTTTGGTCTGCAGATGTGCTCTATTGTTTCGTTTATGGGAACATCTGCAATTTCATGGTCTAGTAATACTGTTTGAGCTGTAATTGACTTGATTTCTGAGAATTTCTTTTTTTGTAAATCAAATTGTTTGTATACTGTAGAAAAACAATTTATAAAAAGAAGGGATGAGCTGGTGTTTCTATAGAAAGGACGAGCTGGTGTTTCTATATGATGATATAGTACATTGTATTCTGTCTGATACTCTGATGTCATATCTAGCTGTAATACATGATTCTATTATTACAAATGACATGACTCTATCAAATCTGGTTTACCTTTTCATGTTAATTTATACCTGTTGGATTTTCAGGGAGGTACTGTTTTTTGATATATATTTGCTTTTCAAAATTGTTTTTAGGCCTCCAAGGAAGTTTCCCACTTTTCCTTTCTGGATTTCATCTTTAGATGAAAGATGCTATAGTAAGCTTGGAGACGTATGGGATGCCTGGGCTTCTGACAATTTAGCTTCTTTTGGTTCTCATGTTCATGGGAAATTTTCACTCTTGCAGGTATGTGTGTTAAGGTTGGCTCATTTATTTTCTCTATTTATGTCTTGGAATTTAATTGTTGGTTAAAGTGATGTTCTGTTATTTTTTGTTCAATTCATTCACACCTCCCCTATGGCCTTTCATAATCAGTTAATCTATGTTTTGAAATGACATGTCATCGATGAAAGACTTGGATGGCGGGTTTTGAGCTTTGGGAAATGGCAAAGTTATAGTAGCTGAAGTTTATGTGGGTGTCATATACTCATATAGCATTTTTGTTGAGCATATGTTACATCATCTTGGGTACTAAGGGTTCATGCGAACTATGCCAGACTGTAGCCTGATCAGTGCAAGTTTGTCAATTTTTGGCACATACATTATCGAAGTTTAAAACGAGAGATTGGCAACAACACAACGTTTTTTAAAGATACAGGACATCTATGCCATATGTTGACATTTATCTGTCTTAGACATTTCTTTATGAGGAACCACAAAATCATTGCATCTACAAGAACAAATTCCTCCACCAAACATATTTGAATCCGTATGGGGTGCTGATCATTCTAACTTCTCTACATTACTAATGTAAGAGTATATAGTATAAATTGTAAAGTGCATCATAGAGTTTTTTATTATGTTTTTAACATATTTATAGACACAGGCCCTTAGCTTGTGCCAATACTCCATAGGACTCGTATTTTATTGGTGTCTAGTCTAGTAGTCTTGAAATTGGCTGTATTTGTGTTTACGTCAAGCCAATTTCTGGGATCAAAAGCTTTGATTTGTATTGAGCCTTTTAGTACCATAGGTGGTGACAAAGCGTCTGATTATGTTTATTCATTGCCAAATTTAGCAGACACAAAATGTCTTCCTGGTTTTGTATTTACAGTATTTTGGGTTTCTATCTTATTCTTTTGCAGTTCATTGTCTTTGCAAAGCTTTTGTTTACCAGCCTACAGAGTCTGGATCTCTCTGATTGCTGCAGTGTGCCATGGTGGTTGTTTAGAATATCAATGTTCCAGCAGAACATCTTGGATGACTTATCATCGTCTTTGTTTGATCAAGTGCAAGTGTACAAGAATAAGATGTTGGACCATTTTGGTGAACTGGAAAAGGTTTCTACCTACTGGGATTATTTATTGTCTGATGGAGAAGGCTCTTATGTTGTTTCAGCTGCTTTCTTAGAGGCTGGAATTGTGGAATACAAATATGGTCGTGTTGATGCTTCAAGGTCTTTTTGTCACTCTCAGTTTGAGAGCTTTAATTTTCCTCATAATATTTGTTCTTTGCTCAAGGTCACACTACAAAATTTACAGGAATCCTATTACTCAGGATTGCCAAAATAATATAAACATTAGATGAGAAATGCTGTATATATTATTGTAAACTGTTTCTCAGAATTATAACATCTTAGGCTCCGCTTGTCACTGCAATTGGTTGTTTGTTTCTAACTCCTTCCCATGCAGTTGTTGGAAGCACTGAAGGAGGTTCCAGTAGATTCTAGGAGTAGGAGGGGCCAGTAGTTGTAATCTGAACATATTATCAAATTTAAATTCTACAATTCTAAAGGAATCTGCACCCTTTTTTTTTTGGGTGGATGTGTTGGCAGGCATGACCCTTTTGGCCTTTAACTATCCTCCGCCACTGATTGGAAGCATCATTTTAGGATCTGTAACTGAAAAATCATAGTAAGCTTGGTAACCTGTGCAGTGCAGGACAGCATGGCACAGCAAGTTAGCAACCATAAACATACCCTTAGGCATTCAGCCAATATGTATTCAAACTGCATAGGATTGGAAAACTGATAGCCATTTATGAACATATACTTACGATCTTGTCTGGATGTTTGGGTAGGTTGCATCTCAATAGCGCACAAGAAGCATGTGGTCTGCACCTCTCCCTTACAGGAATCCTTGGTTTTCGAACAATACACCAGGTGAATTATACTGCACTCTGATCTTTTTTCTTTATGTTTTGTATACCATCTCCTCTTAGTTTGATTGATAGATACATCACTTTGTTTCGCAAAAACACACTAAAAGAAACATACTCCGTTTCAAATTATAAGTCATTTTGGCTTTTGTAGATACGTTGCCTTTACTATGTATTTAGACATAGTATATATATCTAAAGCATATAAAAAAAACTATGTATCTAGAATAGCAAAACATCTTATAATTTGGGGAGACAGTACCTTTTAGTTTCTCCTTTTCACCAAATCCAAGCTTACCGTGCACACAAGCTAGGAAGATTCTAAGTCGGACAAATATTATTTGCATTTTATTTTACTACAGATACTTCAGTGGCATACTGCAAACCTCTTTTACAGCATTGAAGTAGAGTAGAGAAAGGACATATTTGAATAACTACACCATCTGTTTCCTGAACTAGACATACTTAGTGAAATGACAAGGCCTAAGAAAATGGACTCGCATGTCAAAATGGAGTAACAATAGCGTTTGACCTTTATATTGTATTATGTAAAGAGCGAACATCTGTTGTTGAAAAATGAAGCGAGCCAGCTATTGTTATAGGTGGATGCAAAGTCTCAAATGGTGCTTGTTGCGAAGAGCAATAAATCAGGCTCTGATGAAGGACAAGTGACAGAACCCACAGTAGCTCAGAATGACAATGCAGCTTTAAAAAATGCAAGGAGCTTCGATCCTGTTAAAGGCGATGAATTCTGTGACATACTAAGAATGCCCAGACTGGTGCATGATGGGAGTAATTCTGCCAGTGAAGAAACAAACCACAGTGCAAAAATATCACTATCGGCTATACAGCAGGCTGCTGTACTTGCACAATGCTTGCATGTGAGCCGGAGGAGTCGTAGTGATGAAATGTCTGGTATGTCTGTTTTCATTCCCCGTGGACACTTGTGATTTCCCCCCCTCCTGTTTTAAGCATGCAAAGAAGTTTATTTGGCATCACAATCTTGTTTGCAAATAGAGTTCTGGGCGACAAAGATGGCTTCAATTGTCATACTTTCTAAATTATTTTAAATGAGAGTTCTGGTTTAGTTGTTTTTCACATATATGCATGGAGAATAAAGTAGCTCCTTTAGTAATAGCATTTAGTTTATTTTGATCATGCGAAGGCATTGAAAATTCTGAATTAAAAGTGTCAGACATTTTTTTTTTGCATGGAGGAATTTTAGATTCCAAATGAAAAAAGTTTGTTTAGTAGATGGCATTGAAAATCAAGCTGTCATAGTTTGACATGCCATTTCAGTTTTTATTTGTATGCGGACCATTTCTTTTTACTTAATATTGCATACTCCCTCAGACAAAAGTATGAAGATCTTATCTTAGCACATGAACCCAGAAGGCATAAAAGATTACTGGACTACCCTAATTCGTGTCTCTTACAATGTTGAATGCATGCATATGAGGATGCAAAGTGATAGATTAGTGTTCATTAACAGTACATAGGAGATTACAATAATACCCTTGACTATTATACCTTAACAGTACGTAGGAGACAGCACATCTTTTGCATTGGAAGGTGAAATAAGCCTAACATTTATGGACAAGACCATTATTCAAACTACAGACCTTGTCTTTTTGGAGAGAGGATACAATTTTTTGAAGTACTACAGTATTTTTCCATGCTATGTGTTTAACTGGATTTTAGTATATATTTCCCAAATGATTGTTTATGTTATCATCATGTGTAAGTTTTTTGGTTTTATATGCAGGGTGGGAGATGGCACCATACATAGAGTCAATCGATTCTCAGGAGGAATCTTACTTTGTGGTATGATTCTGATTGCATTGTATTGCTCTGGTGGAAACATGTGTGGCACCATTTCTTGTTCTAACACAAAAACATAAAAATCAAGATTCGATCGCTTGACTGCTTGAGGTTCACACTTTTTTTCTTAACATTGTGCAAGCCTTTTTATCCTTCAATGTCTACTCTGATTACTAATCTCATGTGTTGGCCCACAACCTATGCATGGGATGTCATTCCACAATTTTGACTCCAACCTTATTTCTGTTCTGGAGATTTTCATTTCTGTGCTCAAACAATATTTGGATAATTCACTATCATTTACTCAAGTTTTCCCTGCGTCTGTGAAAATATAATAAGGAGAGCTTGGTGAATATCAGAGAAGTATATTTTTTTTCCTTATTTCAGATCAGGAGTTTGTGCGATATACTGCGTGTTAGATGGGAGTCAACCCGCAGTCGGACAAAGCAGAGGGCACTACAAATGATGGAGAATTTGGTAAGTGATGAATCACTTTCAGATTGTATAATCTTTGTTCAAAGGTTCAAATAATCACAGTGTATATATATGGGTGTTCATTCAGGTTTCAGGTAGACCGTATCTTTTTCATTATGGTTGCAGTTTGCCTATATTTTTAGCTTCCCGATCACTAGAGTATTTGCATGTTTGCAACTCATCAGGTCTTTGATATTTATCTATGCCATTGTTCCATTTACTTTGTTTATTTTATTGTTTGGATGACTAACGCTTTGTTTTCATATAAGACCAAAATTGTATGTGGGTATATTATTTCAGTTGCTTCCTGGTTTTCGTTGGTTCCCTAAGACCCTAAAATTGCACTAATAGGTTGGTTGCTACCTGCACTTGTTCCAGGATTAACTAATCTGTTGATTTAGGTTATATGTTATCTATTTTTGGAACTTTCTAGTTCCTAAATTCCTAACCATGATGCTCTAAACTTACAGTTACATTCTTCATCTAACAGTTTCATGGAAGAACCATATCTGGTGAAAAATTTGAATGCAAAATAATTTCAATTCTAATGAATATTTGTTCCTCCAGTTCCATTTCCCCTTTGTTCTCTCTCTCTCCTCCATCCCTCCCCCCTCTCCATCTCCTCTCCCTTCTGGCCCTCTCCCTCTACCCCCTCGCCCCCCCTCTCCATCTACCCCTCCACCCCCGCCCGCCTCCTCTCCCTCTCGGTCTCCCTCTCCCCCCCTCGCCCCCTCTCCTTCTCTCCGTCTTCCTCCCCCCTCTCTGAAATCATGCTGATAATTGACCATTGTGCTTGAGACTTGAGAATACATAGTTAAGTAGACTCCCCCCCCTCCCTCCAATGTTAGCAGATCAGAATTGCAGTTATCATTTTTTTTAGGTCCAACCTGACTGGATAGGCCTGAGCAACTGGCCTGTTTTTTTCCAGACTTTTGCCAGTGTTGTATTTTAAACACTTCATTTTAGGTTTGATTGAGAAGTTTTGTTTTCCAATGTATATCGCACCTAATATACAAATTCAATGTATATTATTAGGTTGAAGATATCGGCAAAGAATTCCCTTCTGCCCCACAAAGAGTTAAAATGGTTTTTGCGGTTCATATGCCAACTCTTCCCGCATTGAGGAAGTATGCAGTAATATATATAAGCTTCTTTGTTCTTCCTTTCTGGAACACTAATGTGAATTGGACTTGTTTTACTACTCAAGAGAATACGGCGAACTTTTGATCAGTTGTGGCATAGTTGGAGAAGCACTGGATATATTTAATGATCTTGAATTGTGGGACAATTTAATATATTGCTATCGGTATGCATTTCAACTTGAAATAGAACCGTCCTACATTCAGTTGAATCTTTTGCCGTAACAAACACTAAAGTTCTGTTATTTGGCAGATTATTAGGTAAAGTGGCTGATGCAGTTAGTCTAATAAATGCTCGGCTTTCTGTTACACCAAATGACCCAAGGTTATGGTGAGTATCTTGGGACTATTTTGCATTTTTGAATAAATGTTACAAATTTTCTGTCATCTTCTTGAGCAATTATTTCTTACCTTATACTCCTGTCCAAAAGTTTTAAGTGGTATGAGCAAAATCTCGTTTTCCAGAAGTATTCGTCACCGAAGCTTCTCTCTCCTTTTTTTTTTCTGTTTCCTCCGACTGTGACTCCTCTTATGTCATGCAGATTGAATGCATGGCTGCTCTCCTGTTAACGTGATATACGACTCTGTCAGATTGAATAGTCCCACCCTTTCAAGACAATTCTCCAAAAGAAATTAAATCTTAGATGCACAAAATATCATTTTCAGTTTTTACCTTTTCAGGTATCTCCCTAGTAATTGTCCTGTCTAGTATAAGAACTGCAATATACTGAAGACAATATCATAAAAGTCTGTAGATAGAACAGTTAAAAATTCTTGATTATTGTCAAAACAAATACAAATAAAGGATTGCTGAGTGATTTACCTAGTTCTAGCGTTTATTGTGTGGAATGACCATGTTCTACCTAATGTTTACTTTTTGTTTCCTTGCATTTTGCTATCTGATGAGAGACTCTCATTTAGGTGTTCACTTGGTGATGTTACAAATAATGACGATCATTATAAAAAGGCATTGGAAGTATCAAATAGTAAATCAGCCCGAGCTATGGTAAAGTTGATGTTAATTCTTTTCAGTTTCCTTGATCATCATGTTTGTGGCGGATCATTGTATATAGGAATTGGATTAGGAAATGGTATTAATGACAATAGGATAGCTCATTCACCTAGCACCAGAGTTTTCAGACCAAGGTTGAGGAGTTTCAAACATGTTCTGATTTGAGCATGTTCCCACATGTCTTGATGAAACTTTAAAGCTTCAAGACAGGTTTTATATTTGTTTTAAAATGAATGGCCTCTTAGTGTCTAATCTAATTAATCTGTAGGCTCAGCCTCTGTCACTTCAGATCCATAAGAGCTGTTGGGAGAAGCATAAGCCTTTCTGAGATTACCATGAATATGATACTGGAGTTACCAGAAAAGGATGTGGAGTTATAAAGCACTTTGATAAGTGATATGTTGTAACGATTTTGTACAATCGTCTGTTAAAAAAACCCCGATTCTGTACAATCCATGGTCCACAAACATCTATCTGCTTTGAAGTGCTGTCGAACCAACATATTCGAATTAGGTGCTATTTTGTTTTCTGGTTGGGCTTGGAGGAATAAATCAGATTTGTTGATGAATCTGATTTAGGCTCACAAAAAAACTTCTAGTTTCCAGAGAGTTCAGAAGTCAACTCAAGTTTCAGAAGTCAACTTCTACTAAAGAAGCAACATTTATTTTTCATGGAGTTTCATCCAAGCCTTTTTCTTTTTATCAAAGGGTGATCCCTATTCTTTGAGAGACTTAGTGTGTGTGGGTTTGAGTTTGCAACATCTCTTGCCCCCTTCTTTTCTTAATATTTGAGTTTCATCTAAGCCTCGTACTTGAAACTTCAAAGGTTCCTATTATCTTAATAAAGTTGGATATGTGCAAGTTTAAAGAAGTTCCATTAATGTTTTCCACACACACACACACACACACAAAAAAAAAGTTCCGTAACTTACATTGGATCTGGATACACTCTGGTCATGTGCCAACTGTGGTTCCTCATGCTGTGCCACCCTACGCACTTGCTTAACAGTTAAACAGTTAAGTTGTCTCATGTTGGAGAATGAGGACAGTTTATCTTGTGTTGAAGCCTAAAGTAAAAGTAGTCGATAGGCTTCATTGTGAATGTGAGGTGCTGAGTGACATCGGGATAAAGTAGGTTCAGATAGATAGTCATGAATGAAGCAATGCAACATCATTGCTTTCCCTTGCTGTTTGGGCCATCAATGACATCCAATTGCGCAGTTTCTCTTGTCTATTGTGGAACTGTTCTAACAGTGTCTTACTTTTTCATGTAGCGTTCTCTGGCTCGCAGTGCGTACAACAGGAATGACTTCCATACATCCAAAGTCCTATGGTATAAGACTATCTTAAGCAAAAATGTTGTTTATCGTTGATTCGTTGTGAATAACTTGCAAAATATCTTTCTTTTGAACTTTGAATAGGGAATCTGCATTGTCGTTGAACTCTTTGATTCCAGATGGCTGGTTTGCATATGGCACAGCTGCATGGAAGGTAATTTTACGAAGTTTCAAATTCTTTTGCAAAGAGAAAGCATGTATGGATATTTTATTCTGCATATGTTGTAGTGGCATTTCTTAAAACGGAAGGTTTGTATAATTATTTGAATAAGACTGTCTTGCTATTTTCTTCATTGTTATGGATCACTAATTTGCAACTTACTGATTTGCATTTCTGGCAATATGGAACCTCAGTGGAAGTTAAGACAGGAACCTCAGTGGTTCTTTTTAAGGATCAGACTGCTGTCTTGTGGAAGTTAAGACAGGAACCTCAGTGGTTCTTTTTAAGGTTTTCCCATTATGGCTTTAGGCTCCTAAAAATATGCTTTCAAGTTTCAACTGTTATGAATAAAGAGACTGAACTGGATGATTATATTGAGGCCCAATGGAAACTATATATAGAGTACATGAGAGACACAAGAGGAAAACCCTAGACTAGGAGATTACACTAATACCCTTTGACTATTATACCTTAACATCAACTAATTATTAATTTATCATATCATAGGCGGGAAATATCAAGTGTTTTTCACAGCATTTAAAATATTGGACTAGGAAGCCACCTAGGTGGTAGGTGGTGGAATATGTTTGCATGAGCTGAGTTGTTCCAATGGCCATTGCATTACACTCCATTTCTCTATGTTTATCCATGGCTCACAAGAATACATCCACAATATTTGTCCATGGAGGATACTGAGGGTGTAGTTATTGAAATTTTTCCTGTTGCGAACGCTTTCATTGGCAAGCAATACACCAAGAAGAAGGGGCCAGCGTCTACTAGTGGCTAAGGCCTATCAGATTAGCACTTTGTTGGGGGTTGTTAGCATCTTGTTAGCAAGTTAGCATCTTCTGAGTGAAGTTAGGGAGTTTGTTAGTACATCTGCCAGCCATTAGGCCATATAACTAATGGCTGGCTAAGCATTAGGGGATCAAGCAGGAATTGAGTTATTATGTTCAGAGCCTCCTAGGATCAGGCTCGTTCCCCTGCCATCATTGTTAGTCTAGTCAGATGAATAAAGCCAACATCCCAGCCATATCATTTCCACTCTCTACCCTTAATTAAATGCTCCGACAGAATAGAAATGGTTGTATCATGACATTTAATAGGTATATGGATGGTCATTTCACATTGATTTTTCGGTAGAATTTGTATGTACTTGGTCAGTGCACATGGAGTGGTTGTTAGTCGTTGAATTCTCACTCTTGGTAGTAGGAGAATTCTTACTTTCATCGAGAGAGGATGACACTAGGAGTTGGGGCAATTTTCTTGTCTATTTCTCACACAAACTCACACAAATGCCATACCAACCTGAGGGGTTGGGGTTACATATTTATAGGCTGCTAGCCAGCCAAGCATATGCCAAGATGCTAGTCTAAGATGCTAGTCTAAGATGCTAATATGCTGTCCTAGCTAAGATGCTGTCCTCTAGTCTAAGATGCTGTCCTAAAAGCAGAAAAAACAGCCACAAGGACCATGTAAGCAGTATAGCCCCACAAAGACCACACATGAGACTTATCCATCATTCTCCCCCTAAGTCTTGTGCGTCGTCTTGTGGGAGAGTTGAACCGAGTTGAACCATCCCGGTCCTGGAGCAGAGCTCAAGGAACTTGATCCTCCCAAGGGGCTTGGTGAGCAGGTCCGCAAGCTGGTCCTTGGTGTTGATGTAGCTCGCCTTGATGCTCCCTTCCTCCAAATGACCTCGGATGAAGTGGTACCTCACCCGGATGTGCTTCTTTGCGTTAAGTGGAACACGGGTTCTTTTTGCTGGGGCAGAGCGGACTTGTTGTCCACCACGAGCTCCACCGCTCTAGTGTCTCTGCCGAGGAGATCACCAAGCGATCGAGCGAGCAGGCGCTGAGTCGAAGCGGTGGAGGCCGCTATGTACTCGGCCTCCTTGCACCGGCCGAGGCCACCACTTTGCTTGACCGATCGCCCGCCTAACGAGGCACTTGCCGAGGAAGAAGAGGATCCCGCCGTGCTCTTCTTTTGGTGTCGATGTCGCCAGCGTGGTCATTGTCATTGCTGTGCATACCCGACGAAGTGTGCCGCCTGTGGCACCTCGGGTAGTAGAGGCCGTGGTCGAGAGTCCCCGCAACATAGCGGATGATCCTCTTCACTGGCTTCTTTGGTGCTCGTCGTCGGTGTTGCATGAACCGACTAACGTAGCCGACGGAGAATGCCAAGTCCGTGGCGTGTGTGGGCGAGGTAGCGAAGGCTCCCCACAAGACGCCGGCAGTGCGTGTAGCGCCCACCTCCTCCGTCGTCTTTGTCGCGGCTCGGCTTGACCTCTCCTCCATCGGAGTGAGAGTGGGTTGCGATCGGTGAGCCCGGCTTAGCTCAACGACGCTTTTGGCGAAGCGGTGCGTCGAAGTGTGATTCCGAGTCATTCGGTGCACCTCGATGCCCGTGTAGAAGGAAGAGAGGCCCTGGTCACTCATCCGGAAGGTGGCCTTCATCTCTTCCTTGAATGCCGCCACCTCCGCATCCTTGGTGCCGGTGATCACTAAGTCGTCGACGTGACACCCACCAGCAGAAAGCGGTTCCTCCACCGCCCGTCGGTAGATGGTCGCCTCGTCGGGCTTTGCTCAAGCCCATCCCTTTAGCGTGGAATCCAACTTGGCATTCCACGCCCCGATGCTCGCCGCAAGCCATAGAGGGCCTTGCGCAAGCGAGCACCTTCCCTCCTTGCCGGGATCGCAAATCCCGGCGGCTAGTCTGCATCGAGACCTCCTCCTTCAAGTCGCCGTTATGAACGCCGACTTGGCGTCCATGTGATGAACACGCCACCCTCGGGCGGCTAAGCGCAGGAGGAGTCGCACGGACTCCATCCATGCCACGGGAGCAAAGGCGTCGTCGAAGTCGACCCCCTCCTGCTTTGCCACGAAACCTCGTGCCACCAAGCGAGCCTTGTGCTTGCGATGGCACCGGCTTCATCCCTCTTGACTTGAACACCCACTTAAGGGTGATCGTCGCGGTGACCACGAGGAAGGTCAAGAAGCTCCAGTGCGGTTCTTCTCGACAAGCATCCATCTCCAATCGCATCGCGGCGCGCCATGCCGCGTGTCTCTCGGCCTCTGATACGGCATCGAGGGCTCGCCGTCAAATCACGCAAGGTGCAAGCTGCGCCTCCAGTCGTGAGGCACCGGTCCGGCAGACCCGGTGGTCGCCGAGAAGGTTCTCCATCGTGCGGTACCGCGAGCGGCTCGCCGTCGTGGGTAATGCAAGGTCGACACGCGCTCCTCGTCGTGAGAGAGCGAATAGCGAGCTCAACCGGTGCGTGCTCGACACGAGTGGTGGTGGAGTAGACGTGCCGGAGTGGTGCTGTCGGTCTTTGGAGTGCGTGGCGTTGCCGGTTCATCTGGAGCCGTGAAGAACTCATCGCATGACCCGAGGTCCCGACCGGAGAGTGTGGTCTTTGTCGAGTAGCAGCGCCGGGGTTGGTGGAGGCTCGGGGGGCTGGGTAGACAGCGCTTCGAAGAAGAAGAGCGCTTACTCCCCGGCTCCCTCGAAGTGGACGTACTCGGCAAGTGAAGTCGCCAGACGTCGGAGCCGAGCCGTCAAATCCACCGCCTTGTCCACGCCCATCTCGCTCTTTTTCGCCGAACACAACGCCGCTACGCGCGTGCGCGCTACACGCCGTGTCTTGGTCGAGAATACGGTAGGCCTTCGAGCCCTCGCGTAGCCGATGAACACTCCTCCGAGTGCTCTCGTGCGTCGAGCTTCTTTGATATGGCTAAGCTCCTTGGCGAACGCGAGGTACCGAAGACCCGCAAGTGGGAGACCGCCGGCTTGCGCCCATGCCAAGCCTCAGACGGTGTCTCGCCGTCGAGCGCCTTTTGGTAGGCGCGGCGGTTGAGGATGTGAGCGACCGTCACCACCGCCTCTCCCGAAAGATACCGGCATCCCCCTCGCTTGAGGAGGGCCCGAGCCATCCCCACAACCGTCTGGGCTTGCGCTCGACGACGCCGTTCTGCTGTGCGGTTTGTCAGACGGCGCTGGAGTAGTGGTGGCTGAATGCCCTTGTCGGCCTTGAAGACGACGCGAATTCACCGCCGTGAATTCGCCGCCGCGTTGCGTTGTCGGTCTAAGAAGACGCTTGACTTCTTGGTACAGACTCGCCGCCTCAGCAGCTGACTTTTGCGCTACCGATAGCGGCCCATGACCTCTCCCTTGCTGCCGAGGACCATCACCCACATGTAGCGGGAGAGGTCGTCGACGAGCAAAGCAGGAAGTAGCGTCGTCCTCCGGTGTGGCGGTGTGTCACTGGGCCCACACAAGTCCCGTGCACAAGCTCGAGCCTCTCCTTGGCTCGAAAGCTCGCCCGCTGGGGAAAGGGGAGTCGCCTCTGCTTCGTCAACACGCAGACGTCGCAGAGCTGCTCCACATGGTCAAGGCACGGCAGGCCTCGCACCATCTCCGTGGCACCGAGCCGCTTGGGGCCTCGAAGTGAAGGTGCCCGAAGCGCTCGTGCCGCTTTCGCCACGCCTCGTCATCCCGACGAAGCGGCGAGACAGAGGGGTTGTGCCACACCACTGACGTTAAGGATGTAGAGTCGATTTGCGCTTCTGGATACCTTGGCAAGAAGGCGGCGACGGCGATCCCAAATCCTCATGACTCCATCCTCAACCACCACGCGCGAACCATTCTCATCCAAATTGTCCCAAAGTCGATGATGGAGTTCCTCAGCGGGGATGTAGTAAACTCGGTGAGCGTACTGTGCTTACTCAGACACGGCGGTGAAGATGACGGAGCCGGCGCCCTTGATCTCCACGCCGGAGGCATCCCCAAACTTGAGCGGAGCCTCGGGACGCTAGAGTCAAGCTCGGTGAAGAACTCCGTCGACCGGTCATGTGATGGGTGGCGCCGGTGTCGAGGCACCACCCGTCGATCTTGTCGTTGCGTTGCGGAGCCGTCGCCGAGGAGGGCGTGTGCTTTTGGCTCGTCAAGGTGGAGGAGAACCGCTGCGGCCGGTGCGCCGGAGGTAGCTTCGATCTTGGCATGTGCCATGAAACGAGCAGTTCCTCCTCCGCTTTGTCAGGCGACGTGGGCCTGGCCGCGCGTCGTCGTGTTGTCGGCGATCCTTGGCCCAATGCCAAAGCCGGCGCGATTGCGGTAGGTGTCGTCTCGTGCGGCTTGTGCTGCCGTGGTGGCTGCGCCTGGCGCCTCGCGGGCATCACCCTAAGACGTCCTCGCGCCCGACTGGCGTCTGCTGGCGGCTTGCCACGCTTTGCGGCCGCTGTCGCGGAAGAAGGCTCCCCTTCCTCCGGTCACCCCGGGCGGCAAGCCACCGCTCCCAGTGAGAAGGAGCTTCCGCCGATGGTGATGGGGCCCGAGAGGGATCTGTGGCTCATCATTGCCGGCGACCTTGAGGCGACCTATCGCCTCCTCGATCGACATCGTGGAGAGATCAAAGCAGAGACTTCGATCGAGCGAGCCATCCTGCACTTCTGGGGGGCCTTGGCCGGAAGAGCTTTTCGACGACTCTCTCCTCGCCAGAGGTGTCGTCGCTGACGCACACCATCTTCGCAATGAGTGTTGAGGCGGAGAGCAAAGTCATCAACGTCCTCACACGGCTTGAAGGCGAGTTCTCCCACTCTTTGCGAAGTGCTGCGGTGTGGACTTCTTGGGCCTTGATCGCCGCCGATGCGTGCAGCATGACGATGGCGTCCCAAGCCTCCTTGGCGATCTGGCTTCGGTAAGCGAAGCGCATCTCAAAGGGATCTGCGGCGATGAGAGCATCCGGCGCCCGTCGATCTAGGTCGTGGTCGACGTCGCCCGCTGCGGACCGCCTCCCACATGTGCCGCTTTTGGAGCTTTACCCTCATCACCGCATGCCCACTCGGCGTAGTTGGTCTTGGTGAGGTAGGCCACCCCTCACCGGGACCGGCGCCCCACGACAACGACTGGAGCCCGTGGTAACCACGGTACCGATCCGGGAGAGAGAGCCACGCGTTGCTGTGAAAGGCCACTCTCCATCGACCCGTCGGTACCGATCCGGGAGAGAGAGCCATCTTTGCTGTGAAGGCCGCGCTCTCCATCGACCGCCCGCCACCGTTGTTGCCGCGCGCCTCCTCCGAGAGCGCCGCCGCCGCGCGCGCCTCCTCCAGGCGCCACCGCGCGTCCGCGCGCTGTCTGGTGCCCGCGCGCGCTGCGTGGCGTGCACGGCTGCCCAGAGCACCACCACCGCGCGGCGCGCCTCCTCGAGAGCGCGCCCGCCGGCGCGTCGCGCTTCTGGCAGGCTGCCGCCACGCTTCGTGGCGTCGCGTGGCTGCCCTTCGCCGCCGCGCTCATCGGCCGCCTCCCTCTCTAGCAGCTCGAGGTCGCGGCGCCGGTGTCGTCGCCGAAATGGAGCTGCCGTCTTTGCGCTATGAAACCTCGACTCCGACCGCCGCCGCCGACGCTTGCCGATTCGCCGCGCCGCTTCGCCGCTCTCGGCTGCTGCTTGCCAGCTCCGCCATATTACCGACCTCGACGCTTGTTGCTGCCGCCGCGTGTCTCTGCCGCCGCGCTCGCGTTCGCGTTGCTCTCAGCGGCAAGTTCGCCCCTCTGACGCCTTGCGTGTTCGAGGCGACCGAAAGGCCGAGAGCGCCTCATGCGGACATGACGCGCTCTGGGGATTACTGCGTGGGGAGAGGGCTGCCAGAACGAGCCTCGTCTGCGTGTGGGGAGTGTGAGGAGGCGGCCGGAGCTTTTGCCGTCGCACTGGGCTGTTATGTGTGGTGGGAGGGAGATGAGCAGGAGATGCTCAGGCTACAAGATAATACGGCTCTGATACCACTTGTTAGTCGCTGAATTCTCACTCTTGGTAGTAGGAGAATTCTTACTCTCATCGAGAGAGGATGACACTAGGAGTTGGGGCAATTTTCTTGTCTATTTCTCACACAAACTCACACAAATGCCATACCAACCTGAGGGGTTGGGGTTACATATTTATAGGTTGCTAGCCAGCCAAGCATATGCTAAGATGCTAGTCTAAGATGCTAATATGCTGTCCTAGCTAAGATTCTGTCCTCTAGTCTAAGATGCTGTCCTAAAAGCAGAAAAAACAGCCACAAGGACCATATAAGCAATACAGCCCCACAAAGACCACACATGAGACTTATCCATCAGTGGTATGGACAAATATCATATCATGTGTTGGCATGACAACTTGAGTGTGGAGTCAACTATCATGTCATGCTTTGGCATGGCAATGCTTTGTTACCTTAAATTTGGTTGTGGCAACATGATTTTGCCTTTATGTTGCCGCTTGCTTTTATTACCTTTACTTATTAGCTTTGTTGCTTCCTTAGAACATATGTTGTCAAATAGATTTACTGTTTATGTGTTCATACAGGACAAGGATCTTGACAAAGCTGTGGATGCATTTAGTCGTGCTGTACAGATAGATCCTGAGAATGGAGAAGCATGGAACAACATAGCCTGCCTGTATATCACTTTCTATACTTGTTCCTTGTTTGTATTACGATGCTGATGGTTTGGCCTGATGTGCAATGTCATTAGCATTTATGCTTGACTAGGTGTTATGTGCCCTGATTTACCATGTCATTACATTTTGCCTCGTGTGTTTTTCTCATTTACGCTGTTGATATTTTCTATTTAATTTTGATCTTGCTGTTTTACCTTGTCAATTCAAGCTGCTTTGTAGAATATATTGGTTTTGGCATTTCTCTCTGTGGTATTATGCTGTTGTGCATCATGGTCTATCTTTCAAAAATCATTTCGTGGAAATTTGTGTACATTGAGTCAAGCCTTGTGTTACTCTTATCAAGCACTCATTGGTTGTTAGTACTTGCCAGTCTGTTGGTTTATTATGCCTTTTAGAACAATCGTTATTGTTTCATAAAAAAGAAGACAAAATAGATCACATGGTATAGAAGTTATGCTGTACAGAGCTCATGTGAGCAATGTAATGGTCGGGTGTGATTGATATGTTCTGTAGGGGGAATAGCTAATTAAGATTTATTGATGATGTTTGTTTGTGCTATCATTTTTTATCTTGTATTGACCTTTAATGTAGCTAATTATGTAGGCACATGATTAGAGGGAAAAGCCAAGCAGCAGTCCAAGCATTTAGGGAAGCTGTAAAGTTCAAGTATGTTCCACCTGATGTCCATAAAGTCCAGTAATAGAATTTATAAATTAACAATATATTATTTGTAGGAGGAATAGCTGGGAAATCTGGGAAAATTACAGTAAAGTTGCTTTAGACACAGGGAATATTCGACTGGTAAGTATGTCTTTCGAGAAATTGATTTGATATTTCTGTTTTCACAGGACAATTTGTTATCTGTGGTTTTGTTCTCTATTTTACTCATGCATTTAGTTCGAAGCTGCTAGTGTTCCTTGAAGCAGTAGATAATGCCCCCCCCCCTCCTCCCCCCTCCTTATTTTTTTGCAAAATGAATCTTCAAATAATATTAAGTTCCCTCTGCAGACACTTGAAGCTTTGAAAACTGTATTGGATTTATCCTCAAATAAGCGCTTTAATGTTGGTATATTGGACAAGGTGATGACAACACTTGAAGAACAATCTCCAAATTTTGTTGATACTCACGAAGCATCAGATGATGCAAATAAAGAGACAAGACAATCCAATCAATTGTTAGATATTATTGGTGATATCCTTCAGCAGGTTACCAACCTCTCTGGATTGTATTTCATCTTATACTAGATACCAGATCGGAGTTAATATCTTGCTTGTGTTTCCAGATTGTGAGAAGTGGAGGCAGCAATGCGGACGTATGGGGTTTGTATGCAAGATGGCATAAGACCAAGGGTAACCTCATGTCATGTTCTGAAGCTTTGTTGAAGCAAGTTCGATCTCTTCAGGTGCTTATACTGTTCTCATGCTGAATGCTTCATTACCAATCAATAAACAAAAGGCGTGTTGGATTCTTTGAATGATGGGTTCACCTTGATATCCCCGTATGTGTGTATTGAGGAGCAGATGGGGGGATATATTATCAGGGTACAAAAATGTGGTTTATACACAAATACCTCGTGTGTCTACAGGACGTTGACTTGATTCTGGTGGATTACTTCTAATTTTCTTTGAGCTTGTGTTTTGTGGAGGCTTGCATTCTTGAGGAAACATAAAATTCTGTACTATTCATAACTTGTCCCTAACAAAAGTAGAAATATAGAAATAGTGAAATACTACCATTCTGGATCAGAAATATCTTCATGGGAACATACTCAAGTACTCAACTGACACCTCTTTGGCGGAAAGTATGTAAAATAAAATTCGGAAATTTGTAGATGTAGTACATGTTATATGTATGGATACAAAAATTCAAGGTAAAATGCACTTCTTATGCTAGGAAGGCACTATTGTATAATTCATGATCCTGAACATGGCTACTCCACTACTCCAGCAGTCCAATACTAACGACACCAGGTTCCCTTTTTTATTGCTATAGTTGCATTCAATTATGATCCTCTGTCCTCTGAGGATTTTTTTTGGGGGCGTAATTAGGTTGGTGGTGAGGCGAGGCAGTAGTGACTTTACTAGCAACTATATCTCACTGGCTGCAAGGGAAAATGGTGGAGGCGCCGAGGCGGCATGCGCAGCATGTGGGGAAGGGTGGTGGCACTTAGGGGTGGACAAAGAGCCATAACTTTTTTGAGCTTTGTTTAAAATTGATTTATTTTATATTTGTTACAGTCTATATCATTTGAGACCCAACTTCTAACCGCGCTGAGCCGAATCGAGCCACAATGAAGTCGACTTGCAATCAAAACATCTAATTTTGATTACAAAAGCAAAAACAAGTGTAATCAGAGCTATTCTGAAACAAGCCACCAAACCAGCTTAAGGAGTTCTTTTGCCATCTCGGAGCTAGATGGTGAGACAGGCAGTGGCAGGGAGAGTCATGGAGCAGGATAATGAGATTGGTCCACTTTTCTTGCTTAATTCCATAGGTACATCACCTCTCATTATATGTAGAGGCCATCAACTTAGCTCCCAAGGCAAACTGAAGTATGGAATCTTTTAGTAGTGATCCATCTTTCCTGATTGAAGCTTAACTTTCCTAAACAAGTCGCTTTTATGCAAGGAAGGGGTGTGACTTTCCTGCCTGACCCTAGGGGCTAGGAGCTGGTGGTGGGGCACCAACCACCTCTGGGCTGGTCTGGTCCAGCTGCCTCATGTCTGATGGATCCATGTTAATCTGGTTTTAAACATAGCAAGAGGAATGAAAATGGTGTCCCTTGTGCCCTTTAGTATTCTTACAAGGTCGTTATCAGCTTCCTCTATGTCTACCTCATTTTTGACACACTACGGTATGAAAAAAAGTTAACCTTTACAATTTCCATGTGTATAATAATATTATTTGCTCTATAATAAATAGTGTGCATTTTTTCAACATAGCTTAAGGGCATTATCAACTTTTCCGTACAAAAGGCCTCATTATCTTTGCAATGCCTCAGCATCTAGGCAGCCAATGAAGGTTGCCAGGAGAGAGTGAGAGATGACAGCTATAAGTCTTGTCCTTATCTACTTAGGATAATTATCTAGAGTAGTTGGTGGTTGTGTCACCCTTATCTTTATCCCTAGCATCTACTTTAGCATCTCTCGAATATGCTGTAGCTTTCTTAAGGCTCAAGCAAGCTATCCTATATGTATCCCCAACCTGCCATAGTTGTGGCATGGCTAATGAAATCTGAAATTCAGCCCCATACCCGTGTTTTGGTTCTAACAAATGGTACCTAGAGCCTAAGTTCATCTGGGTTCTACCCTTACCACATCCCAATCCGTCGCCATGTCTCTCCACTCATCCTCTTCCTCCAACCGTTCCACCACCTCTAGCATCGTCTTTGCGGCAGCAGCAGCACCAGCGAGGAGGAGGCGGCTGGCAGCGTCTGCGGCGGTGAGCTTCTCGTTGGAGGTACAGAGTGTTTTTACTCGGCCGAGGATAACACACCCAAAGTATTGCTCTTTCATATATAGGAGATAAGTAGCACATTGATTACATTGATGGCTCATTAGAGCATTAACTAAACGACTAATTGCACAGGTACTTGCACGATCACTTGTCTTTGCCCAAGGCCTTAATAGCGAAACATAATTAAGCCTGAGATAACTAAGTGATAAGCGGGAGCAGGACTTAACTTCTCTGAGTTCTCCCCTAAGACACGCTTCCCCCATCCTTGATCTTCATGATCCCAATCTTGCTTCTCATGTCTTCAAACTTGGCCTTGCCTAAGGCCTTAGTCGAATATCGCGCGATTGATCATTTGTGGCGGCGAACTTCGGGTCTTGATGTTGCCTTCTTCAACACAATCTCGATGAAGTGTTGTTTGATTCGATATGCTTGCTACATCATGAAAAGCGGGGTTCTTTGCAAGTGCTATTGCTGATTTGTTATCCACTCGCATGACTCTACTACTTCCACTTTCTTTCCCAACAATTCAGCAAGTAACACTGGACAGCCACAGAGCTTGTGTTGCAGCGATAGTCATGGCAACATACTACGCTTCACATGACTAGATAAGGCAACCACTCTTTGTTTAATGGGTATGGCACCGGCAGTTGTTGCCTAGGAAGAATAGACAACTGTAGTGCTCTTGCTTGAGTCAATATCTCCGGCCAAGTCTCGAGTCACAGTAGCCAATGAATCTGGCTTCTTTGGATGCCTTGGTGAAGTGCAGGCCATACCTCATCGCACGCCACATACTGAAGGATACGCTTCCTTTTCTTTGATGCTCTATGGTGGGCCTCTCAGAAATCTACTCACAAACCCATTTGCAAATGCCAAGTCGGTCGAGTATGAACCAAATATCGCGGGCTTCCAACCACGGTTTGCTGTCTTGTGTTGGATCAACTTCCTTGGTTTGTACTCTTCTTGCTCAATCTTAGCCTTTCCTCCATAGGAGTGGCTGCTTTGGGTTGCAGATCCACCATACCACCAATTCCGGTATCCTTTTGGCATAGTGAGTGCGTCTAAGGGTGATGCCATCGGTGCTTTCTCTTTGTACTTCAATGCCCGGATAGAAGCTTAAGAGCCGAGGTCACTCATCTCAAATGTTGCTTTCATTTCAGCCTTGAAGCTTTCAACATCTGCTCTTTGGCCCTGTGATGATCAAATCATCCACATACACACCGACAAGCAACAGAGAGTTTCGAACCTCGCCTATAGATTGCGACTTCATGGTTGCTTTGTCAGAAACCTTTCTTCTTCAATGTTGAATCAAGCTTTGCATTCCATGCTCTTGGTGCTTGCCGTAGGCCATACTGAGCTTTGCATAAGCGATACACCTTGTCTTCTTGTCTAGCAACAACAAAGCCGGCGGTGATGCACATATACCTCCTCGTTGAGGTCTCCATTCGTAAATGCGGACTTGGCGTCCATCGATGAACAGACCAACCCTCTGTGCCGCCAGAGCCAACAAGACTCGAGCGGATTCCATGCGTGCGGCGGTAAGCATCATCATAATCCACGCCTTCTTCTTTGGACAAAGCCACGGCGACAAAGTCCGGCTTTGTGTTTGATAACATTACCGTGTTCGTCCTTCTTCAATTTGAACACCCACTTGAGGTGATTGGGCGGTGACAGCAGGAGGCTTCACAAGCTCCAGTCTTGTTTCTCTCTCTCGATCGCAGCTCTTCTTTCATTTGCTGCGCACCTGCTGGATCTCTCTTGGCTTGATATGCGAAGTTGGTTCGCCAGTGCGTTAGATGCGACTCTGCGAACAAGCGAGTTGCAGTGGCGGTGTGGGCTCTTGGCCAATGATATTGGCGACGATTACTGTGGCGAAGTGGTTCATCCTCGTGATAAGCATCCGATCGATCATCATCATCCTCGAGGCGTGGCATGCTCAATCGAGGACTTGGTGGCGGTGGTGACACTTCCCGGTGCGGTCACTGGAGCGAATTAAGCTTGAGGATGAGTTGATGCGGAGCCCTCTGCTCCTTCAACTCCAATTGGGCTGTTTAGTGCGGGTGTTCTTGGTGAATCCGGGGAGCAGAGGCGGCGGCGGCGGCGTGTTGGTTCGCTTCGCCTCCTCGACCGGACATACTCAAGCTGTGAATTCACTCTTTGTTCACGGTGATGGCCCAGATTCCGGCGAGGACCAATCCCAGCCATGTTCTTCATCAAATACAACATCACGGTGATCCTCGACACGCCCGCTCACAGGCTCAAACACCCTATATGCCTTAGCTCCTTACGCATAACCAATAAACACGCCCGGCCTCGCCCGCGGTCATCAGTTTTGCTTGTGGTGGACCGAGCTTCCTTGTGTATGCCACACACCCAAACACTTTCATGTGTCCCGAGTTGGTGAACGTCCATGCCGGGCCTCATATGGGGTGATCCCCTTCAGCGCGCGTGTCGGTGATCGGTTCGATATGTGGATCTTTGTCATCACTGACCTCCCCCAAAACCGGTGGCGAGGCCCCTCTGCTTAAGCGGTGCCCTTGCCATGGCCACTCTCTTGGCCGATTGCGCCGTTCAACTACCCCATTCTCTTTGAGGTGAGTGGGGAGCATGAAGTGCCTCTTAATGCCTTGTTACTGCCTTGAGGTAGAGGTAGCGAAATCAAGAAGCGTGAATTCTCCTCCATTATCGGTGCGAAGCACCCTGATTTTCTGACCACTCTCCGCCTCTGCGCTCAGTTTGATGCGCTTGATGGCTTCTGCTGCTGCATCCTTGCTTGGTATGAGCGCTGCCCACATGAAACGGCTAAGCGTCATCGACGAAGCGGCGGAAATATCGATTCCCTCCGGTGTTGCGGTGTCCTTTGGTCCGCAAAGATCGCCGTGCACCCGGCTCAAGGGGCTGTTTGGCGCGATCTTTGTGTTGCGGTGAGGAGCAGGCGCCTTCTCATTTTGGTGGTGACACGGTGTTACACACACGCTCCACATGGTCAATAACGGGACATGGCGCCATTTCCTCCTTCCCAAGTCTGCGGAGTGCATCAAAATTCAAATGCCCCATCCTCTCATGCCCTTCGCCACGCTTACATCTCCTCTGCATCTTTGCCGCAAGACAAAGCATTTGGGCTGCATGAAGTTGGAGTGTGTACAATCTGTTAGCCCTCTCTTCACCTTGGCAATCAAAGCGGCGGTGTGTTCCCGAGATCGTAACACGTCGTGATATATCTCCACCTTGGAGCCGGTCTCGTCAAAGTGACCCGGATCGATAATGGAATTCTTCGAGGGTGGTATATAGTACACGCCTGCGGCACCCTATGCTCACCAGTTCTTCCTTGAAAGCAATCGAACCGATGCCTTTGATGTCAACCTTGGACGCATCTCCAAATCGGACCGTGCCTCGCACGTCAGGTGTTCAAATCGAGAAAAAGAGCTCACGCCGTCCGGTCATATGGTGTGTAGCTCACGAATCAAGTACCACACATACGCCTTTTCTTCGCCGCCATTGGCACCAAGGAAGGCGCGGGCTTTTGGTTCTTCAGATTCACCTCTTGAGCAGCATAGGTGTATGCCGGCGCGCACTTATCAAGATCAACGAGCCCATGCGCCAGAAACAGAGCCCCATCATCCTCGCATTCTGCATACTGCACACGGCCATTGTGGCCGCCGTCACCGCCGCCTGCGCCCCCTCGGCCACCAGCGTGCTGGCCTTGATTGCCACCGCGGCCGCCGCCACGACGGCCTCTGCCCCGTCCGCCGCCGCGGTCACCGCCACCATCACGGTCACCATCTCTGTCTCGCCGTGGATGAGGGCAGTCTCTTGCCCAGTGGCCCTCCTGGCCACAATTGTGGCAGGTATCGCCACAGCGTCCACCATCGCGGCCGCCGCCACGGCCCTTTCCTCGCCAGCCGCCGCGACCGCGGCCACCACCGCCGCCTTGGCCGCCGCCGCGCTGATTCTTTGAACTAGAGCCAGCAGAATCATCCCCGCCGCCCTTCTTCTCCTTCTTCCAGCGTGCGCGCCATTGCTCCTCAGTATACATGAGCTTGCCGCCGACGGTGATTGGCTCGGTAGGCGCTTGCTCTTCACGGTCATCAACAACCTTGAGCCTCGATGGCTTCCTCAAGCGTGAGCATGTCAAAGTCGAAGCGCTCAATAGCAACCACAATCTGCGCATATTTCGGCCAGATCAGACGCGAGATACTTCTCCACCACACGCCTCTCATCGATGTCACGATCACCATGAAGGACAAGGCGCCGATCACGAGTTGAGAGGCGGAAGGCAAAATCTTCGACGCTTCTCTCTCGACTTTGTGCGATGTTCTCCCGGTCGCGGCGGATGCGTTGCGGCGTCGCTGGGCGGACCACATCACGCCGATCGCGCGCGGCAGCTATGGCGCCCCACGCCCTCCGCCGTCCGGCTTGTCGATGGCGGAATCCCCATCTCCTTGGGAACCGCTGCGACAATCGCCTCCATAGCCCGCCGATGCGTCGCGGAGCGAGACCCGCTCTCCTTCAAGCTGCGTCCCACAGATCGCGGGGGCTGCATTCGCAGATTTCATCTCTTGGCTCCATTCGTGGTAGTTCGTTTTGGACAGCATCGGCCGATTCGTGCATTGCGAGAAGTCCCTCAGATACGACGACATGCCGTACACAGGCGACTCCCAACGCCCACCACCGCGGCCACGCCTGCGGACTGGCGGAGATGGAGACCTCCGGCGCGGGCTCTTGACCTCCTCTCCTTCTTCATACTCCAGCTCCTCTTCTTCCTTCTCTGCTGCAATCTCCTCCCTCAGCACCCGCGCTGTCCTTGCCGCCTCCTCTGCAGCCGCCGCCTTTGCCAGCGCCGCTGGACCGCTTCTTGCATGCTGCCTCCTCTGCTGAGCTTTTAAAGCATGACCCGGCGGAGAGAGTCCTCCGCATCGGTGGCGCCCTTGGCAGCCTTCCTTGGCCTTTCGAGGAAGATGTCGAGGCCATGGATGAGAAAGCGAGGAAAGGGGCTCAGTAGAAGATGAGAGAGAGGTGTCTAACCTAGGCTCTGGTACCAATTGTTGGAGGTGAGTGTTTTTACTCACCGAGGATAACACACCCAAAGGTATTGCTCTTTCATATATAGGAGATAAGTAGCACATTGATTACATTGATGGCTCATTAGAGCATTAACTAAACACTAACGCACAGGTACTTGCACGATCACTTGTCTTTGCCCAAGGCCTTAATAGCGAAACATAATTAAGCCTGAGATAACTAAGTGATAAGCGGGAGCAGGACTTAACTTCTACACTTCTTTGCTGGTAGCGTCTTGGTGAAACCGCCCACCAGGCAGCAGCGGGAGGCGTGGGAGGCAGCAGCAGCAGCGGTGCATGCGCTCGTCGGAGGCGGAGGCGGATCTTGAGCGGCGGGAGCAATGTTTTTGTGTCGTCTAGTCGAACCTAGTCGCTATTGGACCGACCAGGCGACTAATCGTGATTAGTCGTCGACCAGGCCGCCGATAGTCGAGCCTAGTCGACCCACGGTCGTCCATATAATAAATCCTATGCATCAGGACATATACATACTATATATATACCTATATGTACTATATAGTGTACACAATATAGCAAGCATCAAGACTACATTAGTGTTTAGCAAGTGACTTACTTGTGGGAGTTGTTTTCTTGCCTTTTCTTCATTGTCCAACTGTCCCAAACTCCATTCCTTTGCTGACTTGTTGCTGGAAGCCTGCAATACCAAAGAACACCATAATTAGCAACACTAATGTAGTCTTGATCTTGAGTTATTGACACATATCAATAGCAGCACTGCTGCAGTAGCAATAGCAAATATCTAGCATTTAGCAGACCATGGCAGCCACACGGGCAGCATATTACATAACCAAATTAGTTTAGTACAGATAAGCAAATTAGTTTAGTACAGATAAGCAAAAGTGTTCAACACAAAGTCGCAAACATCAACACACAATAGTCCAACAAAAGTAGGCAACTAGTAGCCATCTAATAAAGCAAATCATCATTGAAATGGAAGCCTCCATGTCCATCTGCAGTTGCTGTTGGTGGTGGTGCAGATTCTTCATCCTCATCCATAGGTGTTGCTGAATCAGATTCTACTTGCTGATCTTGTTCTTCATCATCTATTTCATCAAGATCTTGAGCCACTGTGTTCCTTGGACGCTTCCTAGCATAAGTACGCCTCACAGGGACAGGAATAGCAGTACGAGCAGCAGCAGCCCTAGGCAAGTTACGGCCCTCTAGACCCTGAGTTGCACCAATAGCATCATCCACATTAGCCCAAGTAATAGCATTGGCAGCACCTTCATGAATTGGTTCACAATTGTCATTGACCCATTCATTTTCCTAATGAAATTCATCAAGCAAGAGTGGATTTGATCGCTTTCCTTTGGAACCCAGCTCTCTAATGTTTTTAAATCTGTTTTCCATCTTGCGGTTGTAGCTGACATATACCAACTTATTTAACCTTTTGTGCTCTAACCGGTTTCTCTTTTTTGTATGGATCTACACAAAAGATTGCAGAATTAGATACCATACTCAATTACTTAGCACAACAATAGCTGTAGCATAGCACTTACAGTAGAAAATTCACTCCAATTACGCTCGCATCCAGATGCAGAACAACAAAGGCTAACAATCCTTTTTGCTAAACATTGAAGTTCATATGTCAGGCCACCATATGCACCCCACCAAAGAACTGCAAATTCCATTCCAAAGTATAGAAATCCATTATTAGTTCATTGCTGATATCTTTCAGAAAAGGTAAGGAAATAATTATACAAAATTTCAGATTGGAGAACTTACTAGGATTTTTCTATCTCTGTCTCTTATTGCTCCACGGCTTTGAGAAGGATTGGCCTTCAGACCTCTCATAGTCATCGCTTGCTTGCTTATCTTGTTTTGGTCCTCATCATCACTCACCATCTTCCACATAACTTGATTAAACATAATTCTCAGCTTTGTGGCTTGTCTCCTATCTTTTTCCCTTATGGCAAAGTACTTGCTTGGATTCAAGTATAGGGCTGCTCCATACAACTGCTGCTCCATTTGGTTTTCCCATCTCTTGTCAAAATATTCTAGTACCTCTTTGAGTAAATTTGGTTTGTCTTTCAAAGAATCCTTGATTGCAGCCTTTGCATGATCCATGGCTGCCATAATCTCAGGAGCCGCAGGTGTCTCATCTCCATCTGCAATCCTAAGAGCAACAAGAAGTGGCTGTGTAGCTCTTATGCATAATTCCACTTTATTCCAAAATGGCATTGAAAGGATAATGTTCTCAACTTGCCGGCCTTCTGTAGTGCTAGAGAAATTGGTAGCTTGCCATTCCTCACTAACCACTAAATTCCTCAATCCAGTCTTGTTCTTATGCATGCTTGCCAATGTGAGAAATGAAGTGGCAAAGCGAGTTATAGCTGGCCTCACAAGATCTCCTCCAATCTTATCTCGCATGAGATCTAGAATCCTCCCATGCTTGTACATGAATCTACACACCTTCTTTGCCATGTTGATGCAAGTGTTGAATTCATTGATCTTCCCAATGTCCTCTAATAACAAATCCAAGCAATGGGCAGCACATGGTGTCCAAAATAGATGTGGGATCCTCTCCATTAAAAGCCTCCCTGCAGCCTTGAAGTTGGCTCCATTGTCAGTGACAATCTGTACCACATGTTCCTTCCCAACCTTATCTATTTGCTTCTCCAACAAATCAGCCAACAATGGTCCATTTGCTATCTCACTTGAAGCATCAACAGACCCTAGAAAGAAAGTCCCTGCTGGACTGTTAGCAAGGAAATTGATGAGATGGCGATGGCTTGTGTCAGTCCACCCATCGGACATTATGGTGCAGCCATATTCCTTCCAAGCCTCCTCATGCTTCTTCCTCAACTCGATGTCCTGTTCACAGCCTTTTCAAGCAAAGTGGTACCCTTATATCATGATATGATGGTGAGCGGTACCAGGGCCGTATTGTCCAATTGAATCAATCAAAACTTCCCAGCTTCTAGAATTAATGACTTTCAATGGAATGCGATTCTCATAGAAGAAATCTGCAACATGATCATCAACAACTACTTTGGCCTCCTTACTTTTCTTTGTGCAATGCTCAAGTGTAGGTTGACTATGCTTGGATCTGTGCCTCTCTTCAACTACTTCTTCCGGTGACTTGCAAAGCATTGAGCTCACTGATCTGGACATTTTTGAGTGGCTGGTTTGGTGCAGCAGTGGACAGTGAAAGAAGAGATGGCAGCACTGAGCAATCCTCTTCTTTTGCTTGACTTTTGTTCGAGCTTGGTTACAGTACGCACAGCTGCTGGTTCTTCTGCAGCAGTAGCATCATCTTGTTGCTCTTCATCTTCACCTAATGTAGGATTCAAAGCTAGAATAGTTCTTGAGTTCTTTTTGGTGTAATCAGCCATCTCCTTCTTAACTACTTACGGAGCACTAGGACATCCAATCTGCATCTCCATACCCCGAGCAAGGTGTTGCTTGAATCTTTTTATTCGGAGGGACAATCTTTTTGCAAAATATGCATTTGCACAAAAATCCTTCTTCAAGCATCCGCCACCACCCATACTTCCATCCCGGATCTTGTGATTTTGCCTTCCTCTTGGTGTCAACGACTTGGGCAAAGCAAGCTCGGAGGTAGCTTTGCAATAGCCCTCTCAACTAGTGTTGCAACATCTGGACTATTTGAGGAAGCCGTGGCAATTTGCTGACGACCGGATGATGAATGTAGAACACCTCCGTCAAGGTCGGGCATCGGCATTATCACTTCCACGTTTGCACGTCGTCGCTCCACAAATTTACAAACACAAGGTCGATAGTTAGCAGCATTACTAGCGAGCCAGAGAGGATGCGACCATGTAGGGTCGAGAGAAGCGGATGGGGAGGGAAAATGGACATCTGATCGTCGAGCGGCTCATCACCAACGAAAGGAGGGGCGGCACCTTCAGCCTTCAAATCAGAGGAATGCAGCTCTAACTCTCGAGCCCTGACCCCCGAGAGAACATGAAGCATCCAAATCGGAGGAGTAGAGATGAGAGGCGGGAGGAGCGGGGATGAGGGAAGGACCTGAAAGCAGCGAGGGAGGCAACATGCAGGGAATAGATCGTGAGAGGGGCGCCCCTGCTTTGGAGCAGAGGGCGGCGGAGATGGCGGCGGCGGGAGGAGACACACTGGAAAGCAGAGGGCCGAGCGCACTGTGCACTGCGAGGAAGGAGCGGGCGGCAAGGCGCAGATGGCCGTACCACCGTGGGAGCAGAGGGAAGCGGATGGATCAGATGGACGCCGGCGGGAGCAGAGATGCAGAGGGTCAAGGTAGCCACCAGCAGGAGCAGCAGGCGGGACCGCCGACGGAGCGGAGGAGGCCGCGCGGAGAGCGAGGCAGGCAGCGCCGCCCACCGTGAGCGGAAGAGCGGGCGCGACTTCATGAGTCGCGAGCATGGGCGGGCGGCGGTGTTAATTTCCGTAAAATTTTGTCGCTACTAGCCAAAACCCCTTATCCCTCCCACGCTCGCGGCGCGCCGTGACCAGCGCGCGTGACCCCGTACAGGCAGCAGCACGCATGACTGCGTTTTGGCGCTTCTGGCGCTTCGCATGATGGCCAGCAGCAAAAAAAAAACAGCCAAAACTAGTCGTCCCACCCCTAATCGGACGACTAATCGCGATAAGCGGCGATTAGTCGGACGACCGAGCCCCTAATCGAGCTAATCGGGTCGAGGTCCCTAATCGAGCACCCAGGACCGATTAGGACGATTAATCGGACGACTTGAAATCATTGAGCAGGAGGACTATGGCCCCCGGGCGGGTGAGTCGGATGCAGGAGCGGCGGCGGCTGCGGCTCTGCGCCATGGCGAACTGGCCCGGCAGCAGGCGGCCTAGGGCGGACTTCGGTGGGCGTGAAAGGGTGGCGGCGCGACGGCTTTGACAACCGACACGGGCCGCTTGATTTAACGACGCCCGACGCGACCAGCCGGGACGAAGCGGGTGGTACGCGCATAACGCTGGCTGGAGCGGGAGGAGCGGCGCGAGGCGCAGGACTGGCGGACGGGACGGCGCCGGGCAAAGACGCCTCCCTTCCCGGACCGGCGCGTGGCGGCCGGCTCCCCCTCCGTCGTGCTGCACCGTCGTCTGGCGACGCCGGCGGCGGATGGCCCATGCTCACCAAGACCAACTACGCCGAGTGGTCCATGGTGATGAAGGTGAAGATGCAGGCGCGGCGCATGTGGGATGCGGTACGGTGCGGTGACGCCGACTTCGACGAGGATCGGCGGGCACTGGAGGTGCTTCTTGCTGCTGTTCCGACGGAGATGCACTCCTCCCTCGTGAACAAGCGGACCGCCAAGGACACCTGGGACGCCATCGCCGCGGCACGCATTGACAGTGCCCGCGCTCGCAGGTCCACGCTTCAAAAGCTACGTCAGGAGTGGGAGAACCTGGCTTTCAAGCCGGGTGAGGACGTCGACGACTTCGCTCTCCTCCTCAACACCTTGATGCAGCAGTTGGCGCGGTACGGCGACAATGACATCGACGAGGAGAGAGTTGTCGAGAAGTTCCTCCGCGTCGTCCCGAAGAAGTACTCGCAGGTCGCCATCACGATCGAGATGTTGCTGGACTTCTCCGAGCTGTCGATCGAGGAGGTGACGGGTCGCCTCAAGGCCATCGACAACCGCGAGCAGCTACCTCCCTCAGAGCCGGTCACCATCGGCGGTAAGCTTCTCTTCACCGAGGAGCAGTGGCTCGCCCGCCAGCGGGAGTGGAAGAAGGGGGAGGCCTCGGATTCTTCAGCTTCGGGTTCGTTGAGCAGCCGCAAGCGTCGGCCGCGCAAGTGGGATAAGGCGCGTGGTGGCGCTCCTGGCGGCGTCGACGGCGAGCTCAAGGCTACCCACGACGACACCTGCAACAATTGCGGGAGGACCGGCCACTGGGCCAAGGACTGCCGGCAGACGAAGCGCGACGGTCAGGCACACGTCGCGCAAGCGCAGGAGGGTGACGAGCCGGCTCTGTTCTTCATACAGGGAGTATCGAGCCGCACTCCTCTCCTGCGCCGACCGCCGCCGCGCTCCTCCACCTCGACGAGCCACGGGCTCACGTCTTCCTCGGCAACGGATCCGGCAGCGACAAGATCGACGGGTGGTACCTCGACACCGGCGCCACCCACCACATGACCGGGTGGCGGGAGTTCTTCTCTGAGCTCGACTTCGGCGTTCGAGGCTCTGTTAAGTTCGGGGACGCCTCTGCCGTGGAGATCAAGGGCGTCGGCTCCGTCGTCTTCACCGCCAAGACCGGCGAGCATCGACTGCTCACCGGTGTCTACTACATCCCCGCGCTGAGGAACTCCATCATCAGCCTGGGACAGTTGAATGAGAACGGCTCGCGTGTGGAGATCGAGCACGGGGTCTTGCGTATCTGGGATCGCCATCGTCGCCTTCTCGTCAAGGTGAATAGAGGCCCCAACCGCCTTTATGTCCTCCACGTGCAGGTGGCGCAACCCGTGTGTCTTGCAGCCCGCCGCGACGACGACTCTTGGCGGTGGCACGAGCGCTTTGGACACCTCAACTTTGAGGCCCTGAAGCAGCTCGGCAACAAGGAGATGATGCAGGGCATGCCGCGAGTCGAGCACGTGGAGCAGTTCTGCGACACCTGCGTCCTCACCAAGCAGCGGCATCTCCCCTTTCCCCGCCAGGCGAGCTTCCGCGCCAAGGAGAAGCTGGAGCTTGTGCACGGTGACCTCTGCGGCCCCGTGACACCGGCCACACCTGGAGGCCGGCGCTTCTTCCTGCTCCTCCTCGACGACGTGTCCCGCTACATATGGGCGATCCTGGTCGACACCAAGGCAGCGGCTGCGGACGCCATCAAGCGCCATCAAGCTGTTGCGGAGGAGTGCGGCCGCAAGCTTCGGGTGCTACGCACCGACAACGGCGGCGAGTTCACGGGGTGTACTGCGCCGATGAGGGGATCTAGCGCCACTTCTTCGTGTCGTACACCCCGCGGCAGAACGACGTCGTTGAGCGCCGCAACCAGACGGTGGTGGCCACCGCCCGAGCCCTCCTCTAGCAGAGAGGGATGTCGGCAATCTACTGGGGGGAGGCGGTGATGACTGCTGTCCATCTCCTCAACCGCTCGCCCACCAAGGCCCTTGACGGCAAAACGTCGTACGAGGCCTGGCACGGGCGTAAGCCGGTGGTGAGCCACCTCCGCGTCTTCGGCTCTCTCGCCTTCGCCAAGGAGCTCAACCACGTCGGCAAGCTCGACGACCGGAGCACGCCAGGGGTCTTCATCGGCTACGCGGAGGGCGTCAAGGCCTACCGCATCCTCGAACTTGCAACACAGCGCGTCCGCATCTCCCGGGACGTCATGTTCGACGAAGGGCGAGGCTGGGCCTGGGACAAGGCGGTGGACGACGGCTCGACTTCGACTCTTAGAAACTTCGTCGTCGACTACGTCCACTTTGATGGAGCCGGGGGAGCTAGCAGCTCATCTTCACCGAGCTCGTCTACCTCAGCACCCGGCTCGCCATCAGCTTCGGCGAGTACTCCACCGCCTACACCACCAGCAAGTCCACCACCTGTACCACCGGCTACGCCCCGCTCTCCTACACCGGCTCCCCAATCTCCTGCATCGGCGCCCACACCTCCGAGATCGGCACCAGCAGCCTTGGTCCGTGACGAGCAGCGCACGGTGGAGTTCGCCACTCCGCTGTCCGACGACGAGGATCGCGTCGATGCCTACCACGACAACGAGCCTCTGCGCTACCGCACCTTGGATAACATCTTCGGTGATCAGCCCGTTCCTGGACTGGCGGTGCACGACTTCGAGGCGGAGCTGCACCTGGCGCACGAGGACGGCGAGCCCCGCTCCTTCGCTGAGGCGGAGGGAGACGCGGCATGGCGCGCCGCGATGCAGCAGGAGATGGACACGGTCGAGCGGAACCGGACGTGGGAGCTGGCGTATCTTCCTGCCGACCACCGCGCCATCACCCTTAAGTGGGTCTACAAGCTCAAGAAGGATGAGGCCGGGGCGGTGATCAAGCACAAGGTGCGTCTGGTGGCGCGTGGGTTCGTCCAGCAGGAGGGAGTCGACTTCGACGACGCCTTCGCGCCCGTTGCGCGGATGGAGTCCGTTCGTCTCCTCGCACTGGCGGCCCAGGAGGGTTGGCGTGTGCACCACATGGACGTCAAGTTCGCCTTCCGCAACGGTGACCTGAAGGAGGTCTACGTCCACCAGCCGCCGGGATTCGTCATCCCCGGCATGGAGAACAAGGTTCTTCGCCTACGCAAGGCCCTCTACGGCTTGCGGCAGGCACCCCGAGCTTGGAACGCCAAGCTGGACTCCACTCTCAAGCAAATGGGGTTCCAGCAAAGTCCTCACGAGGCTGCAGTCTACCGGCGGGGCAAGGGAGGCAATGCCCTGTTGG